AACTTACTTTGGACATGTAGTCAGGAGAGACCGGTCCTTGGAGAGGGACATCATGCTTGGGAGGGTGGAGGGACGGCGCAGGAGAGGAAGGCTCTCTATGAGGTGGATTGATTCAGTGACTGGGATAATTGGGATGGGAGTGTCAGAGACAGTGCAATTGGCACAGGACGGAGCGGAGTTTAGGGCTGTTGTACATAGGGTCGCTATGAGTCGCAGGCGACTCGACGGCAAATAACAACAACATAGAATTTAGAATTACTAGACCTAGCAAGTCTTGTAGAATGAACATAATTTTTTCCTTGTACATATAGGAATGTACACTTATGTATAAATCATCTAAAAACATAAAGTAAGATGGAATAGACTTTCAGAATCAAAGAGACAAAGACAAAGAGGTGGTACTGCTCTTCTGCAGTTGCTCTGCATTATTCTACAGAGGCTACATTTCTATGTATTCTCTCAGAAGGCACATTATAAAAAGATTAAAAATTTTACCACTATCACAGTCTGTGTTCTATTTATTCCAGAAAAGAATACTCTTTTGTCGAATTAGAAGCAAGGATGTCTCACTTATTTTGGACATGTTGTTAGGAAGGACCAGTCCCTGGAAAAGGACATCATACTTAGAAAGGTGGAGGGTCAAAGAAGGAGAGAAAGACTCTACAACACCGAACTTGAGCACAACAGAGACTGTAAGGATGGTGCAAGCTTGGGTAAGGTGTGAACATCTGGTGTATAGAGTAAAATGAAAAGTCACAGTCAGCTGAATGGCACCTAACAACAATTGTACTGAAAATATAAGTTATAAATGTCTCATCTCTGTTTCATACTCATATCCTGTTTATTTAGAGGAGAAAGCTGACCTAAATATATATATAAAAACTTTGGGTCTAAGTGGATTTAATGGTTAACATTAATTAATGGGGAAGAAACAAAATAAAGCAGACAAAATAAGAAATTAAACAGAAAATAGAGATAAATATATGTTTATCATTTTAGATTGGGATGGTTTCCTTTTAACCAATATAAGCATGTCAGTTACAGATATATATCCCAATTCTCAGTTTTATATTTGACATGAGATGTCCTGCAAATGTCAGTAACATTACACTTTTCATAATGAATTCTTATAGACATGAGTAGGAACTGACAGAATGTGTGCTCAACTCATTCTCAAGCCAGTAACAGTTCTCTAATGTTGCTCTAACAGCAATACACAGGTAGTTCTTGGCTTTAACAAAGAGGAATCTCTTCTCACAAGAGGCTAGAGTCCAAACTCACCATGGAGGGGAAAGCTTTCTCTTGGTCAGCTCTTCTGGAGCCTCTCTAGCTTGCTCCCTGGTTGCCTGGAGAACTCCATGTGGTTCTGCAAGTCTTGCCATCTCTCCTCACTTGTTTACTCTCTTTTAAGAGCTCAAAAGAAACTGACTCTGGAGTGCACTAATCTTGTCTCGTTAACATAACAAAGACAACACATTCCCAAATGAGATTATAGCCACAGGCATAGAAATTGGAATTTAGAACCAAATTTTAGGGGGACATAATTCAACCCATAACACCAGCTCTTAACAACCTGTAAGACTTTGGGTAAATTATCCTTCTTTGTCTTAATCTGATTATTAAAAAATTAGTAAAGTGGAGTTGATGCTAGCCCTTCAGAGAGGATTAAAGTTAAGTTCAAAGTGCAAACCTGCATGAGAAAAAAATGTTTATGTAAAGTCAAAGGAAGATTAAATGGTAGATTTTTTATAGGTACTGTGGGTGGCTTTAAACAGACCACTTTTTCTAATTAAATCTAGATCTTGCTAGATGATTTATTTGTGACAAGCAAGTAAAAAACTCTGATAATCTAAAAGGTTAAAATCTTTAGTAGTCTGTAATGATTAAGATCTTACTTTTATCTGCCTTAAGACTGTGCTGTCTTAAAAAAGAAACACCCACACATACCCACACTGTATATGATTTATAATTCCTAAACATTTAATTTGGAAAGAATAATCAAATCCATATGGGTTGTAGTCTGACCCCCCCCCCAAATAAGAATTAAAGTTTTATCAGTGATTTTAAATAACAGAAAAATGTAATACTTCACAAAACAAAGAACAGAATTTTACATTTCTCACAAATGTTATTTCTTGCCTTCAATCAAAGTAGAAATAAACTCTTTCTCTCACACACAACACACACACCCCTATTTACATAACTTGGTGCACATACACACTGACTTCAGAAGTTTATAGCTTATAATCTACTTTTAAAGAGAAATTGGTATACATCAGGCTCAAAGAACAAAGTACAGGTTAAAATTATTACCCAAGATATCTCTCTTTTGTGTTCAGACTATATTAATAGATGCAAGATGTTGATGAATTTAATCTGTACTATTTTAGTAGCAGAATAGAAAACAAATTATAAATTCTCAAAGTGTTATATAAAGTTCAACTATTTTTCAAGAGGAATTACATGCAGTTATATATAATTTAGTTTTAAAGATTAGTGTACACGGGTAAGTTCTAGTCACTTTTAGACTCATTTATTTGATACTATAGCAATCCTTGCAAATTCTTGCCACAGCAAACCTGTCCCTTAACTCTACTGCAAGTGGTAGTAGTATTTTTTGTTTTTTAAAAACTACTAAACCCATTTCTCATATTGAAACATGATTGACAGCAGGGGTAACAGTCAAACCTGCATAATATGGTAAGTGCTAGGCAAAAATGTAAAATACCAAATCATTATATTAAGATCATCAATTTGTACTGAAACACCAAATTCTAAGAAATACCTCTAACAAAAAGCAAATCCTAATAAAGATTGAATCCAATATAACTTGGAATAATCTAATGATTGAAAGTTCTTATTTTTTTCATATTCAACAAAAGAAATCCATTTTTACCTGAATAAAGTGATACTAATTGTTCTAACTATGCCAACAATAAAAAAGATTTTATTTTTTCTTAGCCATTAAAACAAACATTACAGAAAAGTGCTTTGTTCTCACTGCAAGTATATGAAGTCAAAGTTTCCGATCAAGGTGATGATGTCATGTTCGGGTCCAAAATGCAGACAAAATTTGCAGGGTGCAGTACTTACTCCTTCTCTGCTCCCTGCAGTTAGTCATCAAGGGTTGTACGCACATGTCTTTTTTGACTCAGGGAGAATGAACCATTCAAGTAACAAACGTCCTCTACCACCCAGATGACAAGATGGGCTTAATGAGATGGGTGTGACATAGATTTTTTAAATACCCTAAACCCTTTTGCTGGCCCAGGATATGGTGGTGGCGGCGAGGCATTGTGTTTTCTGGTCAGTGCCACTGCCTGTTCGTAAGAAGGTAATTCAGTGTCCTCCACAGAAGTCGGCAATGGAGATAAGACGGCTTCCTCAGGTCTTCTGAAAATGATGGAGGGAGTGTGCCTGCCTCTTCTTACGTGCGTAGCTGAGGGACTACACAAACAGACAGCTTTTAGGTCACGGAAAGGCAGCATTTTTAAGTTAAGAAGGCGGTATTTTAAAAATCCTTAAAAGTTCTGTGGACTGTGTTGATAAAGTTGAACCGAATTTATTAGGCTTAATAACTTTTATGTTACCCACAAACTAGAAAAGTTTTAGTATAGTAAAAAGATTAAGAGCTTTGAAGTCAGACACAGGTTTCATAGTAAGGAGGCCAAAGGAAGGTCCCTGGGCAGTGCATATGGTCTGTAGCTAACCACCTAACCTAAGGGGGCTCTGGTGGCCTACTGGTAAAACATTGTACTGCTAATCCAAAGGCCAGGAATTTGAATCCAAAAACTGATCTGAGGGAGAAAGAAAGACAATATCCTCTGGTGTAGTTCACAGCTTTTGAAAACCTGCTGGAATGTCCGCTATGAGTTAGTTATGACTTGCCAGCACATAACAACAAGAACAATTAACATAAAGATTGGTTGTTCAAACCCACTGTGTGGAGTTATAGAAGAAAAGCATGGAGATTTGATCCCGTATAGGTTATAGTCTTTATGAAAACCCCCACTGGTCTCAGGTTGGTTCTGATAGCTAAACCTCTATCGAGTTGCTGTTGTGTACCACAGAGTCAGAACAGACTATAGAGTTACAAAGTTGAAAACTACACAGAGGGGCTCTTTCTCTACAGCGAGGCGGCCAAGCGGCAGACGCAAAGATGCAGATCTTTGTGAAGACCCTGACTGGCAAGACCATCACTCTTGAGGTCGAGCCCAGCGACACCATCGAGAATGTCAAAGCCAAAATCCAAGACAAGGAGGGCATCCCTCCTGACCAGCAGCGTCTGATATTTGCAGGCAAACAACTAGAGGATGGCCGTACACTCTCAGACTACAACATCCAGAAAGAGTCCACCCTGCATCTGGTGCTGCGTCTCTGTGGTGGCATTATTGAGCCTTCCTTGCGTCAGCTCGCCCAGAAATACAACTGCGACAAGATGATCTGCTGCAAGTGTTATGCTCGCCTGCATCCCCGTGCTGTCAATTGCCGCAAGAAGTGTGGGCACATCAACAACCTGCACCCCAAGAAGAAGGTCAAATAAGAGCCCTCTCTTCACTGGCTCCCTTGCCTCTTGCAGGTGGCCTTCTTCTGAGCCCCATGTCCCTGGGCCCTCAATAAAGTCTCTTTCATTGAACTGAAAAAAAAAAAAAAAAAAAAAAAAAAAAAAAAACAACCAAAAAAAACCAACAAACTACACAGAAGGAGATATAGCCCATTTGTCTCTGAGGAGCAACTGATAGATTTGAATCACCAGAGAAGAGCAGTTTGGGGGTTAGTAGTGCAACTCTGGTGGCCTTGTGGCAAGAAGCTGTGCTGCAATCCCAAAGTTATGTGGTTAGAGGCCAGCTGCTCCACGGGAGAAGGATGGGCAATCTCCTCCCGTGTGATTAACTGCCTCTGAAAACCTGCTGGAGGTTCAGCTATGGGTCGCTTCCAACTCTATGGTACACAACAGTGCAACTCTCTCTGAACTACACCACAGAACATAAACAGTCTCTCTCTCTCTTTCTCTAGTCCAACCAAGGTGCTTTTAAGAAAATTCTATGGAGAAGTTCTTTTCTAACACACATGGTCACCAGGAGTTGGAACAGACTCTGATAATGAGTGTGGCCTTTTGGTTGGCAGCCAAAAGCAAATTATAACCTGCATATCAATTACTTCCTCTCCAAAATAGAACAATAGCTATCTCCTCATAGTTACTTTGTGTGGGTGAAATAAAATGTTATATGCAAACAGGACCTGGTATTCTAAATAAAGAAAGGACTCAAAACATGATAATTTCCCTTTCTTTCCCTCTTGAAGGAACTCTGGTAACTCCTAATGGTAAGAAGCTGTGCTGCCAACCCAAAAGCACATGGTTTGAATCTACCAGCTGCTCCAAAGGAAAAAGATGGGCAATCTTCCTGTGCAATTTATTGCCTCTGAAAAGTCAGCTATGCATTGGTTCTGACTTGTTGGTACATAACAACCACTGTTTTCATGAGTGAAAACTGTCTGGAAATACAAGACCAAAACAAGGCTTTTATTGAAAGTCTCCAAGCTGAAGGACTAGAGATGTCAGAGATAACGAATTACAATGATGCTATTTTTCCTCTTCTATTTCTTCCTGCACCCCTGCTGCCATGAGGATCTTCTCAATGGTACTTTTAATTTTTTCTTCTTCTCAAGAGTCTAACCTGCAGCCTACTTTTTAGCTCCTTCTTTTCAAAACCCCTTTTATTCTGGCCTCACCTTACTTTTTATAGGCCTCTCCTCTTGTCAAAGCTGACTTTTGAAACTACCTTGAACATGCAATGAATTCTCAGCCTCTGATTTAACTGGTATTGTTTCCTTTCTCAGAATATATTTTCCTCCTTCTTCCACTGGTTTCAACTCAGGTACATACCCCCCCCCCCCACACACACACAGAGACTCAAACTCATTCTGACTCACAGCTGCTCCTCTATTGAGTTACAAGGTTGTGAGCTGTACAAGAGAGGACTGCCCATCTTTCTCTGGGGAGCACCTGATGGATTGGAATCACCAGAGAAGAGAAGTTTTGCAGTTTGTACTGCAGCTCTCTACAAAATATGCCACCAGAACACACACAATCTGTCTCCCTTTCTCTTTTTCTTTTTCAGTCTTACCAAGGAATCCTGGTAACACAGTGGTTCAGCACTGCTAACTGAAAGGTTGATGGTTCGAAATGCACAGGGGCTCTAAGGAAGAGAAGATCATCTCCTGTAAGGATAACAGCCTAGGAAAGCCTGTGAGAAGTTCTACTCTGTCCTATAAGGTGGTTATGAGTGAGAACTGGCTCAAGGCCATACAAGTTCAGTCCCACAACTTTGATAAAAACCAACCAGTGAAGGGTGAAATAAAACTTGAATTTGGTTACACCTTTTTTATTTGTAAATTACAAATTAGAATGTAAACATTATCCTGTTGCTTTGTTTAAGGCTATGAAGTTGACTTTCTATGAATTTTCTACACATAATTTAAGTCCATATAGTTTGGCTGTGTTAAGAGAATTAGAACTCACAATTTAGCTCCAACAGTCAGTCAGTATATACAATATTCTTCCCACTAAAAAAGAATTAACAGACTCAAAATACTGTATTTTCCAAAACCAGGTCAGTCAATTTCCACTTTAGAACACTTATGTCATTTGAGAGAAAACAATGAGATCTGAAATTGAAGGGAGGGAGAGAAAAATCACAGAGAGAGAAGAAAAGCAAGAAGTCTGCAAATTTAGGAAACTGGCCTTAACGACTTTACAGGGGACAGAGAGGATCACATGTGTACTCTGAGAGTTCAACACAATCTCCCTCGTCAGAAATCTGACACATATTCCCAGTGCACACATCAACTGCCACACTCGTTAGCTTGTGATGAAAAGTTTGCTCTGAACACATAGATTTTTCCACACTGACTTTAAGAGGTTAGCATATAGAAATAATGTAATAATAGCAGCACAGTTTCTTCTGATCCACCGATCTTTCATAGATCGGGTAGCTTAATTTCAAAAATAGAAAGTAACATTTCAAATAAACAGGCCCCGTATCATGCCTGTTTTTCTGCACAAAAATATAAGAACTGGGAAATAAAAAGATCTTGTTTTCTATTTCTTGGCACATTTTTCAGAGGAATGAGGCAAACTTTTCTCACAATGGTCTTATTTTTCACTTGTTTCTTTCTTAAATATCCTTTTGCCCCCTGCTTCTACCTCAAGACTAGCAAAATAGACTAAAAGAACAAATGTTTCTGCTGAAGAATTTCTTGGGAAAGTGGATGAAATGTAGTTTGTTGTTGTTAGGTGCCGTCGAGTAGTGACCCTATGAACAAAAGATCTGAACATCCTCACACTTCTTGAAACACAAGAGCCCATTGCAGCAGTCACCGTATCAATCCACCTGGCTGAGGATCTTCCTTTTCTTCACCGATCCTCCACCCTTCGCAGCATTGTGTCCTCCAAGGACTAGCATCTCCTAGCAACAAGTATGTAAGGTGAAGCCTCATCCTCCTTGCTTCTAATGAGCATTCCAGCTGCACCTTCTCCAAGACATATCTGTTCATTCTCTTGGCTGTCCATTGTATGTTCAGTGCTGTTCTCCAACACCACAGCTAAAAGACATTAATTTTCTGTCATCCTTATTCATTGTCCAGGTCTTGGATGCATAGCTAGCAACTGGAAAGATTACTGCCTGAATCAGACACACCTTTGTCTTCAAACTGACATCACTACTCAGTAATTTGGAAAGGTCTCTAACTGCAGTGCCGTGCATCTCCTTATTTCCTGACTGCTCATACCAAGGGTGTTAATTGTGGATCCAAGCAAGATGAAGCCTTTGACAGTTTTAATCTCCTTTCCATCCATCATGCTTCCTATTGGTCCAATGGTAAGAATGTTTTTTTTTTTACCTGACATTGAGATGCAATCCATAACGAAAGTGCATTCCTTGATCTTCTGCAGCAAGTGCTTCAAGTCCTCCTCACTTTGAGCAAGCAAGATTGTGTTATCTGAATAAAGCAGGTTATTTATGAGTCTCTCTCCAATCCTGATGTTACATTCCTCCTCATAAAGTCCAGCTTCTCAGATAATTTACTCAGCATACAGATTGAATAGGAATGGAGAGAGAATACAACCCTGGGACACTTCCTTCCCAATTCCAAACCATACAGTGCTCCCCTGCTCTGTTCACACAGTAGCCTCCTGGTCCAGGTATAGGTTCTGCATGAGCACAAATACTTTGGGATTCCCTTTCTTCTCAATGTCAGCCACAACATATCATGATCTACATAGTCAAATGCTTTTGCATAGTCAAGAAAGCACAAATAGACATTCTTTCGGTATTCTCTACTATCAGCCGGGATCCATCTGATTTCAGCAATGATATCCCTGTTGCCACTGTTTCTTTTAAATCCTGCTTGAACTTCTGGCAGTTCATTATCTATGTACTATCCCA